ACAGATCTAGACTCGCTCTTTCCAACGGATATGGCAAGAAGATTTTTCGTCTGCGCTAGAGAGCGCTCGCGACTAGAAGATCAACCTCAGTTGTGCCAGATCCAGCTCGCAGCTGACCTGCTTCGCTGAGATGGCAACCATATGGGTGGGATGGATTGTCGCGTTTGTTGTGTGCACGCCGAGTCTTCACATCCATCTTCCATTTAACATGTGAACATGAAGACTGAGATCATGTCGTCGTCTACACACACACTGGTGGGTTAGGGCAAGCCTAGAACACGCTCTGAACGCCACAAAGAACACAAGCATCCGCTGTCAAGAGCACTAGTGAGCGCCTAGCAGCGGGAGCTTCCTTGCGAAGTTTGGGTGTGCTAAGCAAGAAGCTGAGCCGTGGTGACATTATGAAATCGCAATCATGAGCCAGAAGCTGAGCGCAAAGCTGATGGCCATCGTATGTTGCCTTGCAATGCCATCGGAGAGATTGTGGAGACTAGTGAGATTTGGTGATGCTTAGAGCCCGATAGCGAAGGAACACATTACAACTAGATGTGCATCCGTATAGTAGTGCAAACTCGCGGAAGTAACGCAAGCGCGAGGCCATTTCCTAGACAGGCATAGCAGATCGTACTAACATATTCGATAGGGCTTCCGCACAGTGTGCAAGGTTGTTTGGTTGGGAATAATGCCGAAGAGCGTTGCGGTATTCCGTGACCCACGGAGCTCCTCCAGCTGCAGGTAATCCTCTAGAAATTCCTTGCCAAACAAGACGTGGCGAGATGCGCGAGTCTCGTACGAAGGCGGACCTACCAGAGTCAATTTGAATGTCGCATTGCATACATCCAAAGCATTCCTCGATTACAGCTGACAGATGCGCAGCAAGTGGTGTGATTCCCGACAGCCTGTTGCTGTTGCCCCAATGGGAGCAGTCTGACCGAACGCGTCTTGTACCCGCAGGCTAAAGGTTTAAGCCACCTCGACTTCCTTGGTAAACGTTCTGGCGCTGCTTTCTTGGTATTCATTGTCGCCCTTCTGCGGCTTGCGGCTTGCCGTTTGAGATTGCTGGTGAGTAGATCCCCAGAATCTTGGAATGAGGGGAGTTTGCAGTCTGTTAGCGCAACCGCTGAGAACGCTAGCATCCATTGGGAGCTTCTGCTGGGCCACCAATATTTCTGTACATAAGCCCTGCATGATCGTCATCGATGATCAGTGCGAATGGTTTGCTGGAAATGCTGTCATCTTTTGTGTGAAACTGCCGCGGTGGTCGCGTTGCTCTTATCGTCAAGAGTCGCAAACGGTGAACGAGTGAGCAGTCTTCAGACGGGCTGTAGTAAGCACCGTGTGCCGGACGGGGAACCGGAACCTGAAAATACTACCCATCCACGTTGCTATAGTGTCTCAGTGTCTGACAGGCGCGCGATCTCTTCATAGCGGGATCTCTCGGCAGACAGCCCATCGCAGCTCCGCTCCCGCATTGCAGTTCCGTCCAATGGGCGATCACGGAGATTTCATGACGATCATGAGCTGTTCGTTCTCGTTCAAACTTCAAAGATGTCGCATGCGAGTGCGAAACTCAATTGAGAAAGCTGACACGACCTAACAATGCTTTGATGCTATCAATTTCCGACAGGCGTCCAGCATCACTGTGAAGAGCTTTGCGCGGCCTTATCCATAGCCTTTTCGCGGACCGCATCGTATGCTACCCTATCGCAGTCGCCCATGACTCGAACGTGAATTGTCCCGCTGAGAATTCGAAGCCACGGTGGATCGAAAGCAGCGCTGTTAAAGCGTTCTTGATATGGCGTTGCCGCACTGCACGGTGCGTCAGGTTCTGGCTGCTGGAGGACGAGCTGGCTGTCGGGGCGCCGCCCGCTCTCGGTGTTGCCGCTGGCGAACCTCCACACATCGTCAGAATACGGACAGACACTCAAGCCATCAAGCCACTCCAGCGTGCTTGACGTCTCAGCCTACGTCATTGTGGAGTTTCAGAAGCAGGTCTCACCTCAAGTGCCGCGATTCAACCGGCAACGAGCTCGAAGGTGACCGTGGGAGACTTTCGAATGAGTCTTTGGACGCGCTTGTATGGCGGGCTGCACGCAATTTGGTACAGTCCAGCCAGCCATAGACGCAGACTCCTCTTGGTACATCGTGCCAGGGAAACACGTTCGCCTCTGCATATGTTCACTGTTGCGGCCCAAAACAAGCCTCGTGTTCTTGATTGGGGTTGATTGAATCTTACCCACCGCGGTCCGCCATGCCCAGACTTCTGGTTGAGGGGATGGAGATAAGGCGGGTCGAACGCGTTCTAAGAAAGGAGTTTACAGTCTGCGATATGGCCAGGTGGATATCTCGCTTGCGTGCGTAGTAGTGAGGCAGCGGTTGACACGAAACAATAGTTTGGAAATGAGGTCGGCCGTGCGTAAAACATCAGTGGCGTTGGAGAACGCACGACGCGACTGCAAGAGCGTTAGAGGCCAAGCTTGTTTCAGTTATCGAGTGCCCTAGGTTTTGCGAATACCATTCTTAGCAATCGTTGTCACATTGGTCTGAGAGTCTGAGTCGTATCGCGAAATCGTCGGTCGTGGCTATTTTTGCTCGTGTCTTCACGAACCCGTCAGTGATGTGGCGTGGGACATGGCACCGAAGCGGAAGCGAATCGTAGGACCGACCTCGTTGGGCCGATCGTTTGGCTCGAGCACCCTGTTTCCGTCAAGATCGGCCTTAGGGCTGGCGTGGGGTTCCCGCATCTGGTAGGATGCTTTGAGAAGAAGCGATACCTGCTGGCTTCTAGTTGGAGGTCTCAGGCTGAGATGATGATCTTTGCCATTTGCAAAGTCGACTGCGGCTTTCAGGTAGCCTCTGTCGTGCTACGAGCGCATGTCTACATACATGGCGTGTCAGGCGTTGCGGAACGCTTCCAACACCGTCTGCATCATGGAAAAATGAGGTAACAGGCGTGTATATTACACCCTGAATGGATGGTGCAATCGCGACATTAGCCTCAGCGGCATACCGCAAGCTTCTGGGTACATACAGCCGGGTTCACCGACTGATTCGTGCGGTACACCGTGTACAGTGACCGCCCTCGAACTTTGGTAACCTCTGCGACCAAGGGAAAAAGCAGAAGTGAGAGCTGTCAGAGTAGACCGCAACTGATCGCCAAATAAAGCAATTCACTGTTGAATTGCAACAAACTTTTGACGGTGAGCAAGCAGCTTGTGGCTACAGGCGGGATACTGCATCCAGACGTGTCAAGCGCACCGCTTGGCCATCTAAAACCGCCCTGCGTTGACTAAACATGGAGCTGTAATAGAACCACTTTCGTGTTCCGGGGTCACGTGCAGTTTTGGTACGCGCGAGGCAACACGCTACTCGAACCTGCCATCCATGGATGGCGCCCGCGATAATCATAGCCCCGCCAGAGCCAGTGCCACATTCGGCTCACCGTTCGAAACAGTTGACGACCCACTGAAGTACGGGGACAGAGCAGGAGTATCCAAGTGAGCCGTGCAAGCGTCGAATCGAAGTGGGGTTCTCGGTTGGCGTAGTGAGCCACTGTCGCAGTGGCCTTGCAAAGCGCGAACCTTGCCGAAAATCGATATATTTTCGACGACATCAATCTGGGATGAGGGTACAGAGGACTTTTATCCTCCCTCGTTTAGTGGCCGCGGGACGAGAGAGAGCTTCGTGTTACGTTGCGAGACGGGTGGACAGACTCGAGAGATCTCCAGTGAGTCGGCACCTGTCAACCACGACTCAGCCGCGTGATGCTGACATACCTGAGTTGTTATCTCGTATGTCGCGCCCATCACTACCTGCGGGAGTAGGAAGACGCGAAAGGCTTCGTATAGCTCGCAACGAGAGCTGAGGTGGACTCACCGCTGCCAGCAATCTTAGTGGTTTCCTCGAAGGCGTCTATATAGAGACATTGGTGTATCTTACAGGCATGCCCAAGGCCCCCGCCGGTGCTGATTTGACGCATGTGCGCGCGCCGATCGTGGCAGTAATTTTGCCGTATTGCAGAATACATTACGGGTGTACGGGTGTCTTGCTGTTCTTTTCCCAGGGAGCCATGCGCCAGCTCGGTTCGCGGACTTGTGGCTGACGCGGGCTCGGCGCTCGTCCCCCGTCACTCTCAGCACGAACCTCCACCCTGCCCTCCACCAATCTAGTCCGCGGTGCAGATCTCCAAGATGCATCCCTGTTGTCGCTGAGTCTTATCATCAACGCCGTGCAGATGCCCCTGGTCGCTCGAACAAACATCGGGCTAACCGGGTCAGGCTCGACCCACCCAAGAGCCTGGCGCGCTGCATGTAACTGCGAGGCACTAGCTCATCCTCTCGTGCAGCAGGATCCCTCCTCAATTGATGAATTCATCGTCGCTCAGATGCATAATCAACACTCCCTGTTGGGAAAGCCCGCTAGTCAAACCCGCTCTTACATTTCCTACCTCTATACGCTTGAGAAATATCTCTCCCCACGCCAACGTTCTCCCTGTGATAATCTTCTATCTTTATCCATCTCTCGTCACCCACTCCAACGTGCTCAGCCTACTTGACAGCCGCTGTACCACGGGGCCTGATCTTGACCTCGTCCTTCTCAGACCACTGCTAGACGACTCGTTCTGCAGTCAGCGCCACAGCACTCTTAACACACGGCTTCCGTCTGACGTCCCAACGGAAAACGTCTAGCTGTCGACTTGACGTCTGCTATTTCTCTTAGCTCCAGACTGGTTTCCATGCCCGCCCCGTTTTAGAGCTCTCTCAGGACTACCGGACTTCGGACCCATTACTCCATCCTCGTCCCACTCGTTTGAGCCTCGCCAACCTCACTTTCGCCTCGATATCCCCGCCTTGGAGTTTATGGCATTGATCTCTTTCTGAACCTTGGTACACAATATCATCCTCAGACCCCTCCTACCACCCATCAGCCGGCCATCGCCGTGTCGACCAACATATCAAGTCTACTTCCACCAGGATCACACGCTTAATTCCTCCTTCAACATGGTCTTTTGCACATACTGTGGACAGTCGTTCACCAGAGACGAGCATCTCGAACGACATATCTTGACTCGTATGTTGACCCCGCGTCTTTCGCTCTTTCAATCTTCCTCACACCAGCTACCATCCAATCTTTCTTCTGGGATATCTGCTAATCACTGTGGATGAGCAGACACCAACGTCAAGCCTTTCAAATGCTTCACATGTCATATGAGCTTTGCTCGACGGTATGTGGCACCCTTCCTTGCTCTTTCTCATCCTGTGGCATCGACCGTTCGGAACAAAGTACTGACAGCCTCTTCAGAGATCTTTTGCAAAGACACTACACCGTACACGGCCGCAACCAGAACAACGAAGAGGGACTCCCCCCACAAGGCATAATACCAAAGTCCGCCGGCCGCACACCCATCGCCTGCAGTAATTGTGCCAAGACAAAGACCAAGTGTGACAAGAAGTTTCCGTGCACCAGGTGCGCTCAGAGGAATTTGAAATGCACATTGCGTCCTACAAGGCGGGCATCGAAAGGTGTCCAGCGGGTTGGCGGTCCTCCTGAGGCTGGGAGCGGGGACTCGAGCGAGAGTGGCAGCAACGCGGATAACCACAATACATCCGGCAATGTCTCTCCAAACCACGATAGCCAACCGAAACAAGCGATGTCGAAGTCCTCTCCTGCTCAGATCAACCAGACTGCCCATATTCCGGACAGCCAACCACCGTCGCAAAGACAATCGCAGTCGCCCTCGGCCCCTCATTCACGAAACCCTTCCATCTCACAACCGGTACAGCCACCGACACACATAAATCCCGAGGAGAAGTCGTTGCATCTTCATATGCCGATCTCCGATACGCCGCCCTTTTTCGACCAGTCCCCTTCCAACGGACTTGCTCAATCATCGTCGCTTCTTTCGCCACTCCCCACCCCGGTGAACGGCATGAATGGATTCGTCACCTCCACACCTATGTCAGGATATGACGACTTCGTCAGAACGGTACGGGACCAATCCGATAATGAGAGCCCTCAATTCATGATGGACCCTTGGAACGGCATGCCCATGGATACAACCTTTGATCCCATGCGGATAGACCCCGCGTTGATGATGAGCATGAGTATGGACATGAGCATGGGACCACCTCAGGATGGCATCCTTGGCATGATACCAGAAATGTCGCCTGCTCAAACATTTGGACAGCCTGTCCAGACACCTCGCATGGACGAGTCCTTTTCGGACCTGCAAATTGGTAGTTCGGCTTCGATGTTCTACCCCTCCAACAGGCACTCTTCGATAGCAGATGCCGGCATACCTGATCTTGGTGCCATCATCGCGGCTCAAGATGGCTGGACTGTTTTCCGTTGCACTCCTTCTATTGCTTCAAGCTCGTGTCCACGCACAGCGAGACTCAACCTCGAGCGGTTAGAGCTGAGCCTCAAGAATCACGAGGGCTGGGCTAACTGGTCCCCATCGTGGGATGAATCCGACTTTCAACAAGGCGGGCAAATCGCGGTATCGAAGTTGCAGGAAGCCACGCGAGACAAACTTCTCGCCATCACCCAAAGTTTCCTCCACAAGGCTTTGGACATCCACAAAGACGGAAGCAGCTCGTCCAGCAGTGGCGAGTCTCCAGGATCCACGGCCTCTCACTCCAACTTCGTTCTTCTTCCACCTGCTCGCGTCCTGGAGTACTTTCTCAAGTCATACGCCAACTCTTTCGAACGCTATTATCCCACCTCCGCCAGAGGTGTGCTCGATACGAATGAACTAATGCAAAACTACAACGACAAAGCGTCGAGCTTGCTCATTCTCATGATGATCGCGCAGGGCGCCATGACCATTCCATCCATAGAGGCCAGGTGGCTAACTGGTGGCTTCACCGAAGCCTGCCGGATATCGCTCTTCGACCTTATTGAGAAGAACATCATCATGGCTGGTGATCCTATCGTTCTGCGTGCAGCCCTCCTCTTCACTGTCCAGGCGGCGTGGAGTGGCGACAAATGGCAGATGGACATCGCTATGGGCCAGCGTGGCATGTATTTCTCCATGTTGCGACATTCCGGTATTCTCGATGTGCGACCGCCGGCAACGCCTCATATCAACGGAAATATTTCGACGGATGCGTTGTGGAAGGACTGGCTTCAGCAAGAAAGCCGCAGTCGGTAAGTGTTGAAAACTTCGGTACCGTCACGTGAACGCACTTACTAATATTGGCGCAGCCTCATCTACTCCTGGGTCATGGTAGACCAAGACTTATCGCTCTTCCACGATACCGCTCCACTGTTCTCAGTAACAGAGTTTGGCGCGCCGATGCCTGATTCGGATCGACTTTGGCAAGCGCAGACCGCCTCAGAGTGGTCTGAGATGTTCAACCAAGTCCATGAGTTCTCGAACGGGTACTCTTCAGTAGGCTCTGGGGCCAGACCACCCAGTCTCAGAGACCTGTTCCGTTACTTCCTAGATGACGAAATCGTCGTACAGGATGTACAGGAGATTCATCTGACACCTATGCACCTGCGTCTGCTCCTCCACCCCCTGCAGACTCTGGTCTGCCAGTATTGCCAGCTTCTCAGCTGCTTTTCCGATAGCGTCGCTTCACGATCGCGGAATCGCGCACTGACAGCAGCGTCGACCCGCGTGCGTCTCGAGGAGGTGCAGGCGTTGCTAGGGCGTTGGTTCGATTTGGCGCAACGGTACATGAAGTCCAACCCAGTGTGTCCGATGATGCAGGCGAACCTTGTCATGTTCCATCTTATCAGCTTGAACGCTGTGTCCAACTTTCCAGAGATAGAGCGCCTTGCGCGTCGAGAGGGTGTGGACGGCTCATACCAGCAGATGCTGTGGATGCACAAGAAGTGTCTGTCCGATGTGCAGGAGGCCATCACCCACGCCGGTCAGGTCCTTCGACTCATCCGTGAGATGCCAAGAGGTATCCGGCCGCCATGGTGGGCTGGCGCCGTCTACCGTGCGGGTTTGGTCTTCTGGACTGATTCGCTGGCACATGGCGAGTCCTTGAGTCCCAACCACCAAGGATCGTATCAGCCATCGAACTCCGCGTTCTCTGTGGATCGCCTTCCAGCTGACCATCCTACCATACTGAGGTACATGTCTCGTAGGGAGGGCATACCCACTCTGACCAAGCGCGACGGTGCACACGTCCCCTTGGATAACGGCTTCGCGATCCTGTCGCATTGTATCGACGTCCTTGATGAGGGTGTTGCCACCAGGTTCTCCGATGGCATTCGTAGTAAACTCGAGAAACTCGCGCGAGGATAACCTCCCACCTCCATCTCTTCTCTTCTCTCTGTCTTCCACCGTACCACCACGAGCTCATGATGTATTAGCGGGTGTTTAGGTGTTTCCCGTCTTATCGTTTCTTATCTCGTTCCATCTCTTTCGGGTGTTTTCCATCAGCATCGACATCTTAGGATGCTTGGGAAGGATATGCGCGAGGTTCCAAGCGTTGATTGGCGTTCAAGGGCACAGACACAGCATCGGCGTCGAGTGATGTCCGTCTCGGTCGCCGAGGTGCTTCGTGCCTGGAATGAGGTCATCAGAACCGACTGCAAGGCAGTCCATAATGTATAGTACATAGACATGATGATCAAATAGCACCAACCGACTTGGGAATAGCAAACCTATACACTTCAGCGGACTGTTGTTGACGATGAGTGTGAAGCGCTTCGAGCTGATCCTCGGCCAGCTGGTCGCAAGCAACGGTGGGTGTCTCCTCGACCAGCCTGCCAGTGAAAGTATACTGACCATCTTCATTCGCAGGAGGCTCTCAGCTTCGGATGAAATCTCTTCATGTCGTGATGGTGGATGCGGGGCTCTTCCGTGGCACGATGGTCGAAGGTGTCATGAGTGTATGCGTAACGGCTGATGTGCAACACATATGTCCCTTACCACCGTGTAGCCCCTCCGTCATCACTATCTGCGGGTTCTTGATTGCTTCGTTTTTCTCCTAACCCGCGCATGTGTTTCAAGCGTAAGCAGGGCATGGGTCGGATTGCGTAGATAATTGGTGTCTTCGAGATTGGAGGCTTGATGGCGGGGTCGGCTAAGAGTGCGAATGGTGTGTGTGTAAGGGCGGCACTACGGCGGCGGGGTTTCTTCGAACCGTGTGGGATGTAACAGAGTGTCCCTACGAGGATGTGGACTCGTCAGATGCGAACGATGCAAGGGTAGTAGAGGGTTTGAGTTCAAAGTGAACAATGGCCGAGGGAAGTGAAATGAGCCAGGATGGCATGTTTGGACTTCTGAAGTTGATTGGAGTAGTACTGTGTCTGCAATATGCTTCCAACAGTATTGGTAACACCGTGGAGAATGCAAGCATGTGTATTGAGGCACGTACCTTAACCTCTCCCACATAGTCCCCTCGCCTCTCCTCTTTCCGCGGACGTTATGCAAGGACTTCGTCGCACTATGATGGTGCCGCTTTATCCAGATCGTACTATGTCTCATTCACCCCCAGTAACCGTGCTGATGCATCGAAACCCGTCATCGCTTCCGAACAAACGGCAACGCAGTCTTACGATCGCCGCCTTATTTGGACTTCTCCAGCCCTCAATGTGGCCGGAGAATGGAGACCACTACCCGATGGAGTTACTAACCAGATTCCTTCTGGCCGTTAAGTCGAAGGATGGGTATATGCAGTATGCTTCCGTATCACAGTGACAGAAAGCCGGTACCAAGACGTCTTCCTGCAGGCTCATTGCTTGACAAGCTTACGCGTTCAGCGTGGCTACTTGCGTATGGAGGTAGCATATGCAGCCCTAATCAAGATGACTGGCTGTTCGAGCACACAGGAGCGGCTAGAATCCTTCGGTTCCAAGCGGCCATTGTTACACATCACAATAATCTACGACATCAAGGACCACTTTCCAACATTGAAGTACCCAGAGCAGTGGCTCTTGCTCTAATCCGCATGGCTGATACGAAGATCGTGCCAAGCCTACGGATGCCCGCACGACAGCCGTAGCTGTCAGGATGTAGCTGGCCCGTGCCATCGGGCTTTGATGTATATCACTCACCAGAGGGTGGTGAACATGCGAGTGACCCCTCGTGAGTTCCATCCAACGGTCGGTATGTCGGAGATTTTCGTCGCCGTTGCGGCTTTCACCCTATCAAGAGGTGGAGATGGATGTGGTGGTCTGGACGCGCTATCCTGACCAAAGACACGCCCAGTGCCGATCAATGCACTTCCGTATGCCAGCCGAGCTTGAGTTAAGCATCGGGGACTTACCGGGTAGTATCCGAACGGTTTGTGTCAGCGGAGGCTTCGTTGTGTCACTACTGCTGTACAAGTACCTCCATATATGTCTATCATCCATATCGTGCATCACTAGATGTTTTCGGTTAGTTGCAACATTGTTGTATTAGTAGGCACAAAAATGAGCATCGTTAGAAGACATATAAAAGCGAATGCGAGGTTCGATAATGGAAACCATGGCTGTCCCGTGAAAGAATGCATTAGCATAGGGCGATCTGGCAGAAGGTCGCGTGAAGCGCCCAACAACAGCCCCTTTCACCGCTATGTGTTTGACGGGAAACGGAATGAGGGGGAAATGAATCGATTCAGGTATAGCTCTGACAACTCCACAAAAGAGCTCCTTGAGACGACTACACCACCCCGTACTGAGACCGGGAAGGTATGTGATTCGTGCGGTATTGATAGTTTCAATATCTCTGAGCAATCAGGGTGCAAGTCTTCTAGTTGGTGAGTAGGTAGCTCCCACGATTGCATAGCCCTTGACGGATGATGCATTTCTGACATAGGGTTATCCGCTACGCTCTGCCACGCTGATGCCATGACGCGAAAGCATCCACCCTGGGCGTCTATACGCGTGGCCTTCCCAACAAGAGAACTCTTCTAAGCCCCTTGCATCCCCAGTCGTCTTCTAGAGAGTGACATTCCACCTCGTGTGGCTTTATCGGGTCACCCCTGCGGCTAGTACTGCGAGAACAGAAGCGCCACACGAAGAGCATCCGAAATATTCGTCAGCGCTGGATGTATAGGCACCGCGATCGGATACTATCGCTTGAAAGCAAGCCGTTCTGGGGACGAAAGGGCCGATGCGTGGTGGTGGAGACGCATTGGTTTGCAACTTTGGGTCAACGGACGCCGTCGATAAGACACAACATGGCCGGTGAAGACGACTCCCTGTTTCCAGAACAGGGGATTCAGAGGATTGAAAACCTCGCACGTAGACGCGCAGCTATTTTGTGCTCTTGGTACAGGTATGTAATCTGGATAAAGACTGGCATGCATCGTCGGTGTACGTGCTCGGTTATGGTCGCTCGTATATGGACTCTTTATTAATCTGTGCGCAGGTCCCTTATCTTCAACAGCTCGTACTCGAGATGAGAACGCTCACAGCTCGTTGCCCACCGTTTGGAACACTCCATCTATCCCGACGGTACAGCAGTTGGAAGATGAAGTGAAGTGAAAAACGCACGGATGTTTTGTCGACGGATCCCCGCTGTGGAAGCCGGCAGCACCCATTTCTGATTGCGACACCTAGCCACGCTTGGCCGACTTGTAACACACTTCCATTTACCGGGTCGAGTCCGGACTCTACGGCACTCAGGGAGTCATGATGACCGTTGGTGTATGGGGAGCCATTGAGGTTCCAGTACACGGGTGTGCTGAGAAGCGTCGGAGTCCTGCCGAACCCTGAGCGAGTTCAGGCTAAACCGTTCCAAGGGGTCCGAAGTTTGTCCCAGAACGTCACATGACCGTGTCGGATCTTCAGAACCCTACGGCCCTGGGCTTACCCACGACGGACCGAGTCGTCGCAGCGACGTTCGAATCTGTTCGCGTCACATCACGAAGCAACGAGCTCCCAGCAAAGACTCTCGGCTGATGGTGGACATGCGAGGATGCGAAAATAGATGTTTCGATGCCGCCGGTGTCGCATCAGCCTCGCGATTCGTTGTCACTGTCAAACGCGAGTCTTCGCAGCGTCATACCTGGTGCTTCACCAGCAGAACTCAATGAGATGCCAGCATTACTCGCGGTGGACAAAAAAAGATGTTTCGATCTCGTGAAACGGGTGCGTGCTGCACGAGAGGCGCTGGAAGTTTGGTGTTGCTCGGTCGGCCCTCGCAGCTCGTGGGAATTGTCCAATCGCAAGCGCCCCTGCCCCCTTCGGCCCCTCTGTCCGACGGTCTGTCCCTGAGGCTCAGGCTCTCCTACGGGGACAGGGACCACGCTACGGGACAGATGCGGCGCAGGTACACAGTTTCAGCCCTAGGACTCACGACTCCTGGGGGCGATGCTGAGTGCCGAACCGGACGCTTCGAGTTGGGGGAGTGGTATGGATGTTGGGATACCGGTGGTGGAGCAGATGGAAAAGAGCTACTCACTGAACGCGGTCTCCGCTGGCGTTCCGAATAGCGAAAGGGTATATATGTACTCGTCTTGACCGTGGAAGGGAATTATCATCATCACAACCACTCTCATCACTACTACAAACACCTTCACACTCCTCAACTCAAAATCTCAACACATCAACACATCAAAATGGCATCAATTGAGCAGACATGGAGCCTTGCTGGCAAGGTCGCCGTTGTTACCGGCTCAGGTAAGCTTCATCATACCCAAGCTTCACCTCCCATACTAACAAACATGTAGGCCGTGGTATCGGAAAGGCGATGGCTATTGAGCTCGCCAAGCGTGGCGCAAAGGTCGCCGTCAACTACGCCAACGCCGTCGAGGGTGCTGAGGCAGTCGTCAAGGAGATCAAGGCACTCGGCAATGGCTCAGACGCCGCTGCCTTCAAGGCCAACGTTGGCAACGTCGAGGAGTCTGAGAAGCTGATGGACGATGTTGTTGCCCACTTCGGCAAGCTCGACATCTGCTGCTCCAACTCCGGTGTTGTCTCTTTCGGTCACTTCAAGGACGTCACACCCGAGGAGTTCGACCGTGTCTTCACCATCAACACCCGTGGCCAGTTCTTCGTCGCTAAGGCGGCTTACAAGAGGATGGAGATGGGTGGTCGCATCATCCTTATGGGATCCATCACCGGTCAGGCTAAGGGCGTACCCAAGCACGCTGTCTACTCCGGCTCAAAGGGAGCCATTGAGACATTCACTAGGTGCATGGCTATCGGTAAGTCACATCATGCTCACTTCCACTTCATCTACTGACCCAACCTAGATGCCGGCGAGAAGAGGATCACCGTCAACTGTGTTGCACCCGGTGGCATCAAGACCGACATGTACCACGCCGTCTGCCGCGAGTACATTCCCGATGGTGACAAGCTCAGCGACGACCAAGTCGACGAGTACGCCTGCACATGGTCCCCTCACAACCGTGTTGGTCAGCCAGTAGACATTGCCCGCGTTGTCTGCTTCCTTGCTTCTCAAGACGGTGACTGGGTCAACGGAAAGGTCATTGGCATTGACGGCGCTGCTTGCATGTAAGCGTGTTGTCTTTGATAGAGCATGTTTTCTTTGGATGTTTTCCGCAGTCACGAGCTAGCATGTATTGGCGTTCTTCTTGAAAGAAGAAAATAATGAAATTTTACACCACCTCCATTCTCGCTTGAGTCTTTCGTTACTACTGCGATGCAGGATCTGGCAAAGCAATTCTCTCTGTGCACACCACTACAGTGTTGTGGTGGTGTGGAACCTCGCAGCGCGGCTTTTCTGCTTTTTCGGTCCAGGTCGCCTCAAGGATGTATTAACAAGACTCTTGACCGCCAGATCTCCTACTTCACCGCTGTCTTCATATCCTTTTTCGCGCCCGAGGAAAGATATACCACCATTCACCACCGTGTTGACGAAACATGCCCCGCCTTCACGAGTTCGACTAAGACTTCACCGTGTTTCTTGACGGCAGCTCGCTAGCGGCCTCCACAGATCATCCATTGGGACAGGATCAGCGCATCTACTAGGCATTCGCTCTAGCATCCTAAAAGTGCCTTACGCGAGTTCGGGACAGGACCGATGACTAAGAAACAAAAGATTGAAGCTATGCAGATACATCAGTACTGATGGTGGTATTCTTGGTATGAGCCTTGTGCACGGACGTTACCCAGGTAGGCAAAGCCAGATCGCTCCCAGAAGGTCCACCTTCGCGTGCGCGCCGCGTGGCCGATTCCACCACGACCCGGACTTCCGTCGTAACATCACCAGCCCCGAACCTTGGGGCATCGCGTAATACGCGCTGGAAATAATAACGCGCAAGCGACACTGTTTCAGGTCCTGGAATGAGGTCTTGAGCGGCGAAGAGGCGTCTCGGCATGTACCTACTTGGTTTTCGAAAGGGCGGCCCCTTCCAGATCTATAAGCGCTCACTTAAAACCGAAAATAGCCAACAATTACAAACAAGACCAAGACCATCTAGAGGACGGGAGGAATGTCATACTGTGGCACAGTACTCAGCTGTTGGACCTGTGTGGTGTTTCCATCGTCCATTCCTGCTAGGCGTCGACACGTGGGTCACCATCGCAAAGGCGCATGCGGAACATGTTCAATGAGCATCAACCAACACTACGAGCTGCAGCGAATGTTGTGATTACGCCCGGAATATCCTCTACAATGGACTTAGTCGAGGCCTAGCAGTAAATTGCTGACGATTGCGCTGTCCGTTGTTTCTCGCGTTGGGGCTAAGCCACGCCCTGGGTCAGCTATTTCAGCCGCAGTGGCAGGGCTGCCGGACGCTTATTGGAGCTGTGTTTAGCAAACGCTGGAACGTTTTCTATCCGAGATGGCCTTTGCGAGTTGTGACCTGTCTATCTTAGGCATCCTGTCATACTATTCTCCGCATTCTGGTCGTGTGAAGGGCCTGATGCGACACTGCACTGACGAAAGATACAGCTTACCATCAAACGGCAATTTCTCCAACCGAGGGCTATGTGTAGAACATCAGCAACCTTTGATTTGTGAGCACTCTCGCCAGACGAGTATATATCTAGAGAAACTCTTGTCTGTCAAGTTCATCTCATCATCAATACACCATCTCCTTCACAGCATCTTCATCACTACAGCTACATCACATCTTCCACATCAAAATACTCTCTTCACAGCATCCACAGTCCTATTATCATCGAAAGCATTTCATAGCTCGTCTCTGCTTCCCAGTCATCATCGTCTTAGTCGCTTCCTTGCCAGGTCACCATTCCTACAACATCAACAACTAGAATCATCAGTCAACATGGTTGCCTTCACATCTCTCGCCTTGACAGCCGCTGCCATCGTCGGCCTCACCGTCGCCGTGCCAGCACACCCAGTCCGACCTACCGGAGTAGTCCACCGCGTCTTCGCCGGATCCACAACCGCTAACGGCGGCCTACATTTCGAGCCCGAAAACGTAGTCGCAGAACCTGGCGATCTCATGGAGTTCCACTTCCTCCCCAAGGCGCACACTTTCGTGCAGTCCTCGTTCGACAAGCCATGCGAGCCTCTCGGCGGCGACAGCTCCATCTTCTCTGGCTTCAACTTCAACACCACTGCGGGTGAAGCACCAAACGTCTTCACCTTTACGGTGCAGGACACGAACCCTATCTGGTACTACTGCTCGCAGACCAACGGGAACCACTGCCAGAAAGGCATGAGCGGTGTTATCAACCAGAGCTTCAACTCTGACAAGACGCTTGCAAAGTACAAAGAGAATGCAGTCAACACCGTTACCAAACAACCTTCCGTTGACCCGCTTGCTTCTCAGGGTGGCTCGATTGTGCCTTTGTGAGCACTTGGTGGAACCCGCTGCATGTGGCATGGCCAGCGTGGCGATTGCATTTCATGCTAGGTCCCTTTCTGCACGGTTGATGTTTTCGCATTACATACTTGACTTACTTTTCTGCATGGCATTGGTGTTTGGGTTTCAGTCTTTTATACATGCCCTGCGCATTCTACACTACTACAGTAATTATACTTCTATCGCATTACCATTCATTACTCTTCCGTTTCGGATCAGTGACGATGCATTCTTGTAGAATTCTTGACCTAGACATGACATTTGAGACCAAAAGTTTGGTAAAAGGGAATGTTCAAATTGTCGTTGAGTTGTGCCCGTCATTTCTTTGACGTTCGTTCCGCGTTGCACATTTGCAAATTGGACAAACAATTGCTTTAAAGCTCACATTCAGGGCTCATTACCTCACTTGGTCGATGCCATTTGCTCAGATGTAATACTATAAGCAAAACACGTTTCTACTTATCTGAACAACCCCCAAGTTTTCTCGATAGATCACTCAAAGTCCCATCATGGCACGAACCCGAGCCTGCAAAGCGCGGCCCAGACTCCTTTCTCGCAACACCATCACCAGAGTGACTTCGGGACGCGGGTCTACAGTAGAGTCACTCCGTGCATCAACAACATCCGTCGAAGATTATAAGGATAAGAGAGGTTACTTGCGCCATATTGGCAGAGAAGACAGCACCGTGAAGATCAAGCAAGAAGACGAAGATACAACAGAGACAAACGACAGAAAGATATCTCCGAAGAGACGGGCTGGAGAAGCCACACCAAAAACTTCTGTGGCGAAGAAACACAAACCCTCTCCGCCTGCTTCCGTCACTCGTCTCACGCGCTCCAAGACTTTGCCTTACAGGAAAGAAGCGAGTAGTACCCGGTCTGATAGTGAGTCAGAGAATGATATCGAGACCTACGCACGCACCAAGACGCGCTCCATCAACTCGCCTCTTCACCTACTACGCCCATACATGGCCTTCCAACTATCCATTTCCGGTCTTTCGGGCAAAGCATACAACGCCGCACAAGCATCGATGAAGTCCGTCCTTGACGTCGCAGAGAACTTTGAGAAGCAGTGTGGTGGAACGCTTGCAAGGGCACACGACAGCCTCAGCAGTAGCAGCAGTGTGGATTCTGAGGAGCGAGAGTCACCGAACAGACAAAAGCGAGGAGAAGAGAGACAAGTGTTCAAAGTCGCGAAGCTAGGAGCAAAGAGAGACGACGACGTGTTACCGAGAAAACAGCAGGAACTGAATGAACAGACGAGGAAGAGACTCGCGCAAGAGCGAAAGGGAAGAGAAAGGGCAAGACGAGATCCGAGCGAAGACGAAGACTCATCCGCCCATTCCTTTTCGCGTTCATCTTCAACCACTACCTCCGACATCGCAACAGAAATAGCCAGTGACACCGACGACGAAGCCAAATACCCGCCAATCAAGCAGCTTTCCGTATCGAGTACGACCTCGATCTACGACTCGCTCCGCGCATCGACGACGGATTCTGGCGAACCTAGCTCGGTAAGTTCTTGCTTTGATTTGACTGTTGCCATGACAGTAATGATGATGCTGATCAATTATAGTAGGAAGGCGAAGAAAGCGATGTGATTGAACGCCGCGAGAAGAACGCATTGCGACGGCAGAAAGCAAGGCAGAAGAAGCGGAATGCGTGGAAGAGGGAAGAGCTAGAGTCGGAGAGCGATGCAGAAACGGAAGTGGATATTGTTGAGAAGATGGAAGAAGAGAAGATGCCTGTGTTTACGGAAAGTGACTGTGGGAGGGAAGTCACAGTAGATTTCTGTCCGATAGCATGGTGATGGTGCTTCGACCATAGACCAGCATGATAAATATTTTCATATTTTTATCCGGCTTACAGGGAGCTATCACATCTTGATCCTCAGACCCGTGTTTCCTGTCCTTTCTGTGCCTGATCTCCCGCTGGTGGCACCCATACTGTCTGCATCGCTATCATCATCTTGATAATCATCTTGTTCATCATCCATGCTGCCCAGTCCTAGCGTGCCGACTTTGAACGTGTTGACGCACCACTCACTAAACACGTCCGGATCCCAGACTCCATCTTCCCTTCCCTTACCCTTCGTGCTTCTGCTCGCCCCGTTTTGGTTGGAAAGAGATGGCGAGTATGACGAGTCGTACCAGTCTTCGTATGCTTGGGTGACAGATTCCATGACAGCAGCTACAAGCATCTCGCGTGTACGAGCGTCGGTGATGTATTCTTCCAGCTTCGATCTCAGGAACGGCGTCTCATGCTCAATGTTCTGCCGGATCTTGCTCGTGCGCGCAGGAGCTTCACTCACAGGCACCTTTTTGTTGCCCTTGGTATCGATCGGTGCCGTCATTCTGGCGACGAATTGACCAGTAAAGTCATTAATCGCTTGGCGCAGGCGTGCATCCACTTCAGCTTTGGCATCCAACATGTTCTCTACGACCTTGGGTATCAAAAGACCAACGAGATTACGCGGGTTGAAGAGGCCGCCCCGAGCACGCAGCTCCCAGAAAGTATTCGTGAGGCTTGCGAAATTGTACTGGACTTCAGTCTCAGGCGTGACGAACTCAATGTCGAAAGCTACGATTTGTTGTTTGAGGAGAAGGAGGTGCGAGACGAGGAAGAGGGCGGCATCGGTGGGTGAGGCGGATTTAGCAAGCAGCGTGCTAGCTTGCGCGAGAGAAAGCGTGGTGCTGTGGACGATGTGATGAGCCAGATCATCGAATACAGAAGACTAGGAGCACGTTAGCATGATGAAGGGTATGCGAGCGTTCAAGGACTCACATGAACGAGCCTGTAGATCTTGCTGAGCAACCAAATCGCTTTGCGCAATGTAGGGTACCAGTCTTTGAAGGCCGCTTCGGTATTGAAGTTCCACCGGGCATCTGGGTCGTCGTCTTCGACTATTGTGGGCGTCTTTGGCATCAAAGGGGTGGGCGGGACCTCGGACTTGGGCTGCTTCTTGCCAGACAGAACGGGTTGGTTCGACTTTGTCCCAGAAGTGGCGTGCTTCTTGTTCTTTGCTGGATAATCGAGATCTTCTGGTTTAGGCTTGTATCTCTCAATGTCGTCTCGCAGGATCGCAAGCGATAGGAAAACCAATCTGTTTTGTGCATCTTGCAGGGCGGGATGTACAATGACAGAAAAGTCCAGCTTGTTCGCCTCAACCGGCGACTCCTCCTCTTCTTCCTCCATGTATCGTGTCTGTATCAGCGTGCAGAGTTCGCATAGCTTGAGTATCTGTGTCTCGTGGATGGTGCGCGGTCGCAGGTAGTCGTATAGAGGCTCGCATACAGCTTCGAGGAAGTCGTACAATCCGCCGTCGCCCTCAAACCACTCTCGCCATAAGTCGCACTCGTCGAAACATATGCCACGTATGTAGCTTATGCTGCTCCGCGCAAAGGCTACGAGATCCGTCGATGTGCTTGGAGCTTGTGCGATCTCGCCAATCTTCTTCGTAACGATGGGGAGTATGAGTCGGCCACGAGTGGCTGAGTAACTCTGGTACAGCTCGTTCATCAGACTTTGGTATTCGGCTTCTCCGCCCGGCGCTGCTCCAGCCGGCAGTACTGCCCGCTTTTGTATCTCGATGCCTATACTCTTCAGCTCCGGCGCGCCGACGCGGAATTTGGCATACAACAGCGCAGACATGGTGGTGTCGTTCAGTTGTCTATCCGCTATCCGCTTCGACACATCGGCTGCGATTTCTCGAAGCGCTTCGGTGAAGTGGACGCGGATGAGGGTGAGAGCACGGGTAAGGAGCAGTCGGTATCTGGATCGGTACGTTTCGGCTTCGCGATGCTTGGAATGCGCCTGCATATATTCGAGGCAGCTGTCCAGGTTGGCCAGCATCTCGACGAATTCTTTACCCCGCACAATCTTGCCTGCTCCCGGAGCATTGAGCCGTTTCGTGGTAGGTTCGAGGTAGAGGTAGTATCGCAGATTCTGCTCCATATCGTCTGCGAGCTTGGTGATGCGCTTCTGGTCGTCGATGAGGCCTTCGCATTGTGTACGGAAGGCGTTTGTTTGGGCTTCGACGATCTTGAAGGATTCGGAGAGGGAGGAGAGAACATCGAGGGTCGATGTTGTGTCGGAGATGATGTTCTCGAGGTGGTTTCGCGTTATGTGTAGTTGGTTCTGGTAGAGCCTGTACTCCTCGTGGCTGGCCTCGAGTAGCTCATCGCTGACACCGCCGTACCAGTCGGCAAACTCCAGCTCGGTGCTGATGTCTTCACGTGACTTCTTCTTCTCGAGGGCCCTTTCCTTCTTCAGATGTGCGCGCACGACGGTGTAGAAGTCGCTGTACGACTTGGCGCGTCTGGCCACGGTGGCCGGTGGAGGGCCATTGAGCTTGCCGGGTCGATCTTCTTCTGCTGTTTCCGCGATGGCCTCTGCGCGCTCGAAGTCAGCCTGACTCTCCTGTAAGTACAATCATCAGAAGTGCTCAGACGTACCCAGGCAGCGGATGGTGGGCTTACGTTCTCCTGTTTAAGCAGGCTCTCTCTGCGGCGGTGCTTGCCCTTCTCCTGGGGCTTGGCGGTGCGCGGCACAAAGGCAGTGTACCACGAGTCTGCTTCGTACATTCTGGCACAGTTCGGGGGTTGGTGGGTTTGTTGTGTGTAGACAGCAAACACGACGCAGCTTCCACATGTCGGAGCTCGGTGATGCTCGTGGGGGTCCAGCGTGTGGTGCTAGGCCCAGTTCGCGCTAGACTCATCTGTCAGTGTGGAGCAAGTCTAGAGCGTCATTGATCACGCAGCTACGATCTAGAGAAACTATCCAAACTGTCCAATTACCAATGCTCCAACCGTAATCGGACCTTCGATCGTGCTGCAAATGTTGCTCTCTTGATCTATCCAGACGCCCACGGGACGACACCTGCCACTACGAGCACACCACTCCATATACCACACTATGCTCAGCACAAAGTGTGTAGCACGCGCGACCCTCCGAACGCCGCATGCCCCGCGAGTATGTAGGAACATAGCGACCAGACCCCCGCAATCACACGTCCGGACCGCATCCCATCCCTATGCACAACGACGACAGCAACACTTCGTCCGATCCATAGCCACCGTCGGCGCTCTCTGGGCTACCGCCACGGCATACCAATGGTGCAACGGAGACTCGATCATACGAGATGCGCACGCGGAGGAACAAGAGGAACCGGAGCTGAAGTTTGAAGCGCCACGGCGGCAGGCCAAAACTGCCGATGACAATAGAAATATCATCAGCTCGCAGCATCTTCAAGTCATCAAGAGCTGGGAGAACCCTGGAGTCTACACATGGGGTTCCAACTCAGGCAAGGTCGTGGCACCCGACTCTGACGAAAAGTACATCAAGACACCAAGACGCTTGACCTTCTTCGACGGAAAGCTATTGCGGGACATCAAGCTCGACAGAAACTTCGGCGCGGCTATTGACGAGAAGGGCGATCTTCTACAATGGGGCACCGCCTTCGCAAACGACATCAAGGAGCCTACCAAGACTCTGACGGGCCATAACCTGACCTCCCTCGCCATCTCCCGCGATCGCATCATTGGCCTTTCCAAGAGCGGCTCCGTATACTCGATACCCGTTTCACAGGCGGAGCAGAAGGAAGGCCCAAAGCCGCCATCTACATCCTGGATCCCTTTTTGGGGTGGCTCCAACAACATCTCATATCGCAACCGTACACCTGAGAACCTCGGATGGAGCGAGCGCGTCACGGACATCTCATCCGGGCTAGAGCATGCGCTCATGCTCACCTCTTCTGGCCGCGTCTTCTCTTTCGCGTCAGGCTCACAAGACTTCCCTAGCAAAGGTCAGCTAGGTATACCGGGTCTATCATTCGAGAGCCGTCCCACTGGCGCGTTCGACATTCCCCACGAGGTCACTACCCTCAAAGGATTCCCCGTCAAGAGGATCGCTACTGGTGACTACCATAGCTTAGTTTGCGATTCCGAAGGACGAGCTTTTACTTTTGGCGACAACACTTCCGGTCAACTTGGTTTCCCGTACAACGCTGAAGCGCAAAGCGTAGATGCGCCATCTCTACTCCCAACACAAAAGCTATACTCTGGCTCGCTAGGCAAGGTGACAAACGTCTTCGCGGGCGGGAATACATCTTTCCTTGCTGTCGAAGCGACCAAAGGCAACAAGACTACTGCAGACACATGGGCTTTTGGATTCGGTCTCACAGGTCAACTTGGTGTTGGTCGATGGGTGCACACGCAAGCCGATCCCGTCAAGGTTCCCGCCTTCTCCGGTCTTTTCGAGTGGGACGAAGCCAAGAACACTGCAATTCCGATACGTCTATTGAACATCTCAGTTGGATCGACCCATGCCGCCGCCATCCTCGACAACGTTGCCAGCGTCGCTGTGACCGGCCGGTCAAAGAAGCTTACTGATAACGACACAAACTGGGGTCGCGACATCCTGTTCTGGGGTAACAACGAATACTACCAAATCGGCAGTGGCAAGCGGAGTAATCTAGCCACACCAACATACATCCAACCACTCGACCAAGCCGCTGAGCAAGAGCGAGCAGCATCTGCGGGCGGCTTCGGAAAACAACTAAGAGAAAAAGAGATGCATCGTTTCCAAATCACACCACGGAACAAGGTCAAGGTCAATGGCCGCACAGTCGAATTCGAACAAAAGGTGGAGTGTGGACGGGGATGCACTGCCGTTTACTCTGCTGTCTGATCTACCAGCTACTGTTTGTGTTTTTTCTTGTACATATACCTCCGCCTTTTAGGGCGGGCACCGCTACGTTTGATGACATGTAAGAGTAGGTTGAAGGATAGGCTATATCTCTCCCAAATCAAATCAAGAGTGTTTGATCTTCAGAATCACACCATTACAATGATAACAAAATTTCCACATCTGTTAGCGTGTCTGTGTGACTAGTGTCAGGTATAAGCGTCGCCCGGACGGCTGTTGGCGTGCGCGTGTCGTGGGTCCGTATGCTCCACTATTCAATCAATTTGAGATTTGTAGGGAGTTGCGATACGCGCTGATGCGATTGGTGGCATTATTCTCATACCGGAGAGTAAAGATGACGTCTGTGTTGTAAGAGGTAGAGAAAGGACTACAAGATGGTCCACGACACTTACCTACAGAATGTGGCCATGACAAGACGTATTCGAAGCGATGGATTGAGGAGGAACACTAGGGATGTGGCAGTGGATTCGAAGAGGAGTTTTTATGGGGAGTAGCGGGAGAAAAGAGTAGTCATCGAGATGTTGGAATATGTGTGATTGCACCGACTACAAGCCTGTGTCGGCGACCTAACTAGCTGATGTGGGTATATGGTACAAGACGCGCGAAGCTACATGACTTTTGGTACAGATGATAACAATAATAAAAAAGAATAGCTCGCAAATTGGAGAAAAAACGTATAAACAAGAACGGCCTACGCTAGTACAGAAAGACAAGATTAGACGACCGAAAAACACGTACCCAGGCCGCCGAAGAAACTCCTCCGAGCTCGCCCGAGATTAAAGAAATTGGGGACGTAGAGTCGATCAAAGCCCCATTCGCTGGATCATTGCTCGTGATTCGGCTTCAGATAGTTCGTTGCCGTCGATATTGATGCGACCTTCTTCGACTTGGGCGAGATCTGGTTTGACAAGGCCTTCGTGGAGGTACTTGAGAAAGGATAGTAGCTTCTCTTCGAATTCGGCATATGGATAGCGTTCCTGGGCTGCTTCTATCGCCTGTAGACTTGATTGCGCCCGACCGTTTGGTAGTAGTTCGTTGATGTATTGGCGCTTGATCCTGGTCCACTCGCAGTTCTCTTCGCGAAGATTACCTTCAGCACAGAAGAGTCTCCTCATCGCTGCCACGTCCGCTGGTTCTTCGGCCCATCGTTCGACGCCAGGGCAGCCATAGGCGAAGATGGTGTTGAAAGCCTCGTCACCGTAAGCACCGTTGCGAAGATACTCGCCGATGATAGCCTGTAGCATGAACTGTGCTGCCAAGTCGAACCACTCAGCCGTTGGCAGCCAGTCGTCATCCAGATTGACACGTGCGGCGGTAAGCTCGATGAAGACAGGGAGTAAACAGTGGAGCGAGGGCGTGCCTGCTACATCGGTCACCCACCTCCGCTGATCGACAGGCATTCTCAGTGCGGAGGCAAGAGCAGAGCGGTTTTCGTAAAGAGCGCCATCGGAAAGAGGAAAGTCCTTCTGCTGGTCGAAAGGCTCCTGGAGCGCAGAAGGATGCTGAGTGCGTTGCCGCCAGTACTCGCCACGGGATTTGTTCTGCTCGCGCAGACTGTTCAGTGACTCTTCGGTTGTCCAGGTCTCGTCGTGATGCAGCCGATGTGTGAAGATCAGGGCAAACTGCAACAAACGCGATCGAAATGACGCCTTGGCATCTAGGCGTCGGCCATGGTGTCTGTGCCCGAGGAATGTCCTCCAATCTGATAGTCGTGAGCACGTGATGCATTGCCGTAACAGGCGCAAGTCATACCAGCAGTCATGTTGACGAGCGCATTGGGCAGATCTGAATGGTATGGATCACTGCTCGATTTCCACTCAAAGACCAAGTCAATGGCCTTGTAGACAAGGAAATCTAAGATGGTGAGATCGACGTCGAATTGGTCTTCCTCTTCAGTCTCCATGCGCCGGGTCAGGTTCAGGTAGCCTTCCCTGGGGTGTCCGTTGCTGTCGTGTGTGTTTGCCATGGCTTGATGCAGGGCGCTGTAGGTGGAGAGAAGGGGGCGGGAGGCGGTCAACATGGAAGGTAGGGCGATATATAGGCAAGTGAGTGACGGAAAGGACTGTACTGTGCAAAGGCTGGAGGGAGCTGAGGGAGGAAGAGCACTCAAGGCGTGATAGCAAACGGGTTATAGCAGAAGGATGCCCCCTCTAGACCCCACAGTTAGCCCACCCTGGAGGACAAAGACATTGGGCGGCTGGCTGGATGCAGGGTCGACTTCATGCGTCGTGACCCGAGAGTTTGTGTCGCTGCAGGGGGAGGTTCGCACGGCATGCGCAAGCGAGGCGAAGGAGTTCACGTCAAACAGACAGGCTGAGTCGCGGCGCAAAGGGCTCCACCAGCATCGGGTCTGAGCAACTGGAGGGGAGCGGAAGAGACCGCACCTGCATGGTGGCTGCCTGGCTGAGACGCCGGCGCCGTCGCAGTCGCGTCGGGCACGACTGGAGGGCGCGCGAGGCCGTGGAAAAATTATCAACCACGGCCAACTCCTGTTCGCATCCAGAGTGTCGCATGCAGCACGCAAGCGGCCTAGCGTGAGGTACCGATGAGTGAGCGATGGCGCCGGCCGCGTCTATCTCGCCCGCGGGCTGCTGCGATCGCCCATGCGCCGACGCCACCAGCAGCCAGCACCCCACACGCAGCACGCCGTCTCCCACACTGACACCTGCCTGGAGCTGGGAGATGCGCGCCCGTCCACGCCTGCCAGTGCGCGACAATGCTGCCCAAGAAGTGCTCCATCCTCCTGCCCTCGTACACTAACCTCAGTCCCCTCTACTATTCCCACGCGGGGAGCTGCGCAGGTCCCCAGCCGGGCAAGTCATGCCGTCATAGATTCGCACGTCCTGAGGCCGCAACACAGCGCCGCTCCTACGCCCAACACCAGGACGCGCCCGCCTACCGCGATGACGCAGAGCTGCTCAGGTGGCCAGACGCCGTGAAGCCGCACAAGACACCCACGCCCTACCAGATCCTGAAGTGCCGCAAGGGCGACGCCTACACCAAGCACCGCTTCTATGCCCTCGTCAAGCTCTACCACCCCGACCGCTGCCATGCCGAGTCGGCCATCGCCCAGCTGCCCCTCCACGTGCGTCTCGAGCGCTATCGAATGCTAGTCGCCGCCCACGACATCCTCTCCGATGTCCAGAAACGCAAAGCGTATGATGCCTGGGGCCACGGCTGGGCCGGTCACCACCAGATGCCCATGGGCCCCCGTCATAACGACTGGCACTATGATCCACATCGCTGGAATACGGATCCGCGTACCAATGCGACCTGGGAGGACTGGGAGCGCTGGCACTACGAGAACGGCGGCGGCGCCAAGGACTCGGACGCCCGCACGATTCAGATGTCCAACTTTACCTTTATGGCCCTCATCTTTGCCTTCGTCAGCATAGGCGGCGTCGTGCAGGGCACTAGATTCAACACCTTCAACAACTCGGTCATAGAGCGGCGCGACCAGATCCACCGCGAGGCGAGCATGGAGTACAGCCGGAGCAGGAATGCCACGCTGAGCTCAAGTGGAGATCGCGACGAGCGCATACGCACCTTCCTTAATCACAGGGAGTCGACTATAGTCGGCGAGCAGTCCTACCAGCGCTTACTCCCGCCCGCCGACACCTGCTCGCCTGATGAGATCAGGAGGCAGTAAAATGAGCACATTGTGGTGCCTGATAGATTTGCTATACCCTCCAGCACATTTTGGTGCTATATCGTACGACTGTTATTACTTCGCGGCATGAATGGAGCTAGGGCGTTCGGTTCTGTATGTATCATTCGGCAGGCGGCACATATGCGCGCGGCGGGCATATCCTAGCCCTCATGCGCTCAGACACCACGCAAATTCAACGACAATCACCAACAGCACCCCCGCCGTGCCTGTGATCGTGTACTCGTTTTTCTTCTTCCAGCACCCTGGCCGTCGATCGTAGTATGACGGCGGCGTAGAATATCGACACTGGCAATATATCGAAGATGATCTACGCCAGAAGCAGCATGGCTTCCGCGCTACCGCCTACACCCAGGGTAGCAGAGCCTCAAACAGTGCTGCAACTGTGTCACGCGGGTCCAGTCCCCTAGATGATGTTCCAGCTTGGCAATAAGCGAGATATCTCAAGGGTAGGGTATATGACAAGTTTTATTACTACATGTATGCGAACGCATGAATGCTCGCGCCACCAATGCTCCATCTCAACGTTTACCGATGGCGATCAGTAATAACTTACGCGATTCTAGGTTTGCACCACCACCTGACATGCTCGCCAACAGCTGCACCTGCATCCACGACTCAGCCCCTGCGCAATCGCCCCGCGACCTATGGTGTCGTTGACACGCCATTCCTCAAGTTGTCGAACTTGGAGTCGGGATACAGTAGCCAATTGGGCGATGACTCGATGCCTGCACCACTCCCGCCGCCCATCTTCTCGACAACCTTCATACGTTAGCAAACTCGTCTCCACTCTCAGACACCCACGACTCACGTTTGTCACGATGCTCCCGCTGTCATCTGTCCTGTCACCGCTGATCTCCCACCACATTGCGCCACCCAACCCTTGTTCTGCAATGTAGTCGACCTTCTTGAGCGCCATGGCCACAGTATCATAGCTGACGAACTCGCCACTCGCTTCGTCGTAGCTGTACGTTGCGCCAGCCTCTTCATCGTAGTACTCCTGTGCACCTGCAAGGGGCAAGTCCTTGAAGTCGTAGACGCCTCGCTCAAACGATCCGGTGCCGATGCCACTAAACGACGTTCCTAGACCCTGAGTGTTGGTGAAGGAGCGACCGTAGAGCGGCATGCCAAGATTGAGCTTGGAGGAAGGAACGCCCGCGGCGCTGTAGGCGGCCAGAACGGAAGCTGTATTGAAGGGCGTGCTCAGGGGAGTCGAGGTCGAAGGGTAAAGGTTCGATTGATGGCCAGTTTGGTTATCCCAGGAGCCGGCGTAGTCGTATGCCTATTTTCGCGTTAGTTTATTTGTTACTGCATTTGGAGAGGCCAATACTTACCATCAGATTGATAAAGTCTGTGACTGCACTGATCTCTTTCAAGGGCAGATGCTTGTAGTTCTTCTCTCCTGCCGGTGAAGCAATAGTCAAGAGGAACTTGGGCTTCAGCTCGCGTCCAGACTCATCTTCGTACACAAGCGTATCAGCATACTCATCCATCTGACTTCTGACCTCCTTCAACAGTGCAAGCAACTGCCCGCCTTGCTCCTTATCGGTAGGATACTCCCAATCCACATCAATCCCATCAAAGCCATAGTCGCGAATCAACTCCACACAAGACGACGCAAAGCGTTGCCTACCCGCAGCCGTAGCCATGGGTCCATCCATGTGCTTGGCAACGTTTGTATACGTCCAACCACCTACACTGAGCAACACCTTCAAGTTCCTGTTCTTGGCCTTGAGGATTTGAAGTTGCTTCAACGATCCGTAAAGATTGCTGCCCACGTCGTTCCAGGAATCAGTCGGGTAGTGCTTTTCTGCGTCGGCGTATGTGTCGGTGAGGAAGACGGTACCGTCGGGCTTGTTGTCGGCGAAGGAGTAGAGGAGGTGGGTGAGTCGCTCTGCGGGTATTTGCTGGGGTTGGAAGTTGCGTGCGTAGATGTCCCAGTTTCCGTAGTAGGCTACTGAGCGGTAGCCGGGGTGGGTGGGGATGTTGGGGTTGGTGGGTTCGGGTGGTGTGTCGCTTGATGTGGGCTCGGGTGGGGGTATGGCGTAGGAAGGCGTGGCTGATAACGAGGGCTGCGTGATCACGTAGCTTGTAACCATGGATGAGGAGGGAACAACAAAGGTAGAGGCTGAACTTTGGGGTGGAGTCGTTGCGTATGAAGGCGTAGCTGAGACTGAAGGTTGCGTAGTCACATAGCTGGTGACTATGGACGAGGAGGGCACAACCCAGGTGGAGGCTGAACTTTGAGGCACACCGGATGTGCTAAAGCTAGCATAGTATTCGCTCGATGAGCTCGGCGTTGCGGTGGAGATGATAGATGTTAGAGCGGATGATGAGGAGACAACGAAGCTGTAGGCTGAGCTGTAAGGCAGACCGGATGTGCCAAAGGTGGTGTAGTATTTGCTCGACGAGCTTGGAGTTGCGGTGGAGACGGCAGATGTTGTTAAGTACGGCTGAGCTGCATACGAAGAATAAGAGTCGCCACCGGGAAACTATTTCGTGGTCAGCATGATCGATACCGCAAGAGGAGATTGGCCTTGACTCACCAGAGCTTGCTCTATCTTCGCATACTCTCGTTCAAGCGTCTCAACCCTGAGAAGCAAGCATTCTCGATCACACTCGTCTTGCGTTTCCTGGGAAGAAGCGACAGCGGTAAGGAGAAAGATGGTGGCGCATAGCCAGGTTGGCAACGACCGAGTGCACTGGTTATTTCGTCAGTCTTTGGTGAATGTCTTCCCTACGTCTCTTCGGTTCTTCTCGAACATACCAGCATGTTTCGCATCACTGCGCTTCAGTAACAGTCGTAGTAAACAAATGTATTATGTATTTTGTTTCTGGATACCAGTTACAGCGGGTTCCTCTCCGTTCTTAAAACATGCCCTCTCGCGCGTCGTTGCCCCATGCTCCCACCCTCCTCCTTTCTTATCCAGAACTTCCTCGTGGGATCTGCGATACTCGCATGCGTCTCAAGCGTTATTTACGACCTGTCTTAGTACCTTTGGGGCTTTTCGTTCCTTGGGTGGTAACCGTTGCGCATGCATGTTGTTGTCCGTTCTCGGAAAAGGGTCCCGCTTATTTTGGTAAGCAGGGACTTCAGTGAGTGGTTTGCGAGGTCGGTGCATGCAGGTACGCTATCTCAACGTGATAGAGACTAGCGTGGACTGTGGGAGATGTGGATGAGGTGGGTATGAATACACCATGATGCGCAGAAGTTAGGAGACGGGTTTGGGGCCGAGGATGGCTGGGTGCGGTTGTTTGGGGCGACGGGATCATATCCTAGACCCCCATGGTGGGTATTGAACGGTACACAAGGCTGGTACCTGGCGATAGACCGGTTGTTATTATGTGTTCGCCTCCTGTGCGGCGGAGGTCTTCCCGGTCAACATCTACTCGGCTCGAGGCCATGCATTTTCAGCCTCTGCTCCACCGCCTTCTTCGTCTTCCTCCTCCTGAAAACCAGCACGAAAATTACCACGGTCAGTAATGCAGCGCAGGCCTGCACAATACCAACATACCAACTCGCACTCTGCACACTGCGTTAGCAAGCCCTCTTTTCAAACCCCTAAAAATCATCCACTTACCTGCACATTACAATAATTACCAAAGTCAATGTCACCCACGAACTCTTTTTGAATTGCCCTCGCACCAGAACTACACGTCCAGCCCCAAAGGTCATCGCTCTTCCCATTTTTATCCTTCTCGGTGCGATACACAGTAGCGGCTACACACCATACAATGAAGTTCCCCAGCATATTGACCCAACTAAAGGTACTCGTGACAACAGCGGCTACGTTGGCCTGTTCAATACCACACTTGTACGAAAAGATCGTTGCGAAGTTGAGTAGTACAGAGACGGCCGAGACGCCAAAGTACATGTATGTTGGCCATGCCCGTGTATTCTTCGCCCAGGGCGTGCGTAAGATATTCTCGCCACTGGGTAGTCGGACAACGCGGTGAATGTTGCGCGTGCTGAGAAACTTGTGTAGGGTAAGAGCCGTGAGGACGAGAACTGCGATAGAGATGAAGAGGGCGAGGGAGCGCGATATAACGCGTAACTTCCGGATACGTATCTTGAGGTCCTGGTGTGTATATTAGTATCACTGGTGCTCGCTTGCAGGACTTCTTTGTTGGGGGCGTACCCTGTCTTCGTTTGCCGCTTCTTTGAGCTCCTCAAAATCGCCATGAGGTAGCGGTTGACTGTACTGTGCGCTAAGATCGTCGGTAGCCAATTGAAGTGTGATCGCAGGTATTGGCCTATTATAAGAGAACTTGGAAGAAGTCATGGTCGATGGTAGCAAGTGTTGTAGGTCTTGCTCCTGCGAGGGGCGTTGAGGCATAGTATGTATGCGCAGTCATTGGATATTTGTTGAACGCAACAAAGAATTTCGTGTGTCCCTTTTACAACATGTCGGAAGTCATGTAGATAGTTGGGGTGGCTTTCAAGTTGGACATGGGGGTTTCCCAATTTGTACCGAGATCTTCGTGGTGATCTCCGTGTTGTTACATCAGCAGCCTCAGCTCCTCCAGCTCCAAACATTAGTCGATTGATAGTTCCGCCGATCGCGCCGTAATGTATCAGCACAGCTGAACTGCAGTGCTGATGACGTGCCGCTTGTGGCTGCGGTTGACCGTAAGCGGTATCGTGGTCGTGGCTGAGCTGATCCTGATTCGCCGAGTTGCCCACAGACTGTGCTTAGTGATGATGTCGCTATTCTGGGAATTGGTTGCCGTCGGTATGTTTACGTTGCATGTCGCTGTTCATTTGAGGACTTCATGCTCGAGCTGGGCTGTCCATCGGTAAGATGGCTTTACGCCCCTTCCGGCAAGTGCAGCACAAGATCGGAAAGAGCATCAGCCCATCAGTCGCTGCATTTCCTTGGATCTGCTTTATTCTTATGTGAGAACTAGCGGGTCGCTGCACCTCGAACACGAAGGTAATTGAACAGGTGCGCTGCAGTCTACATTAGCACGGAAAACGAAGTTGCCAGAATTCTAAGATAATGGCGACCCTGACGTAATTTTTGGTGTCCAGTGTGGGAGGTAATTATTGAGATTCTCTTTTTCAAACAGGGTGGCTGTTCAAGCCGCAGCCGGTCTTAGATGGATTTGATTGTGTTGCATTCAGCGACCTGTCCATGAGCGCATGGTACAACTTTTCCCAGCGTCATGCTGAGATGATTGCAATATTGCATAGCACTGGTTCTCCCTCGCATAATCCCGTCAGAGGTGCAGCTATCGCTGGAGGACGGACTGCTGCGTGAGCCATTCCTCAAGTTTCTTCTGTGCGTCTTTGTCCACCAGACAAAACTTGATGGTACCCATCTCACTCATTCCCTCTTGCTCGACGGGTACACGGTCCAGGTCGGCAACCTCTTTCACTTTCTCTGCAGTGTTCAACAGTCCTCCCAATCTGAAAAGAAGCATCATTTCCCCATCAGCACCAGAGGTTGGTATGAAGGCGCTCTGGCTCTTGAAGACTTTGAGGAGGGAAAGATTATGCTCATAAGCCTCGCGATCGTAGCCTATAGCTTCTTTTTCGGTCTGGACAAGTTCCCAATGATCGTTGGTAATTCGCTCCCGGGTGACTGTAGAAATGCATCAGTACATGACAGTTCCACATTTGATAACCAGGACCAGGCGGTGTCACTGACCATCACCGCGTTGATCACTGATCAGACGGACAGCTTCGATTCGGGAATATCCAAAGAGTCGCATCCAGCGCTCGATAGTTTCCGATGTCGGGTATTGGGAAGCAATCTGCGCGTCAGAGGCTGATGCTGCATGCGCCATGCGCTCCAATTCGTCCCAACCAGCGTCCATAGTCGTGTAGCTGAAGTAGATTCTTCAAAGGTTGACTTGCGTGGTGCGATGCGCAATGATGCCGGGCGCGTGCGCGAGGTGGTGCTGTGGGCACCAAAGTCGGCTATTTATGGGTTTCAGGCTGCTTTCACATCGCGCCTGGTGATCTTGGTGTGACGCGCAGCTTCAGTCTCAACAGGTAGAGTGGTCGTTCTTTCCATGGTTTGGGTGAGGGAGTCACGACTGGAGCGACTCACCACCTGGGCAGCACGGAACCATTCCGGGCTCACTAGGCCGTGTTTGGGACTTTGCGCGAACGTACCAGACTGTAAGAAATCATGACTCAGCTGCCCGCGACACTGGTGTGGTCTTCTACTTCGCTAACAGAACATCTTTTCGTGGTACGTGTGCGCGACCGAGAACAGTGGAGAGCCTGCATCGCCATTTGGGCGCTCATCAAAGCGGAGGAGGTTACAGGGTACGAACAGATAAGGGGAGAGTCAACGACTGAACTGCTGGAACAAGATCAAGCGGGTAAACGCTGTATATCGAAGATTCCTGCGATGGATGCCTAGGTGTTATCGGAAGCAAATATCCCCCTCATCGGGGACAAGCGACCACGCGCGTCGGGAATGGCCTGTCTTCTTGGTGGCATCTCGCAAGTTTCACCAGCTTCGGACTCCTTGGCAGCCAGATGCGCGCAGTACTCGCACGTTTGCAGGCTGCAACCTCATCCTTCTGCACAATTACACGCGCTGCTGCTGCGAGTCGCTACGAGACAGGCGTCTAGACACACGGCTTATCGAGTAATCAAGAAACGTTGCAAGTGGATCCATTCTATTGTAAAAGATGGCACTTTACTCCTAAGCGACCCTCAGTTGCGCCTGAGCTCTTTAGCCTCCGACGCAACGGTCGCACAACCATAATTACCGAGGCGTATTGCACGCGAGAAATGGACAGAATTCGTCCGAGTAAAAAGTACGACTTCGCCAGAGCCAAGATGTCCGATGCAAAATGCGGGGAACGCGTGGCATCTCCATGGACAGCAGACCCAGTGGACTGGAAGCAGAATACCCGTAGTCAAAAACGAACTCGGAGGTCATAACTATCCGCTCCCGTGTGCGAACAGGGCGCGATACGGTTCCGAGGAACTAACGCCTGTGAACATGTGTACGCCTCGTGGGTCTGGCTCCTCTTTATCCTTGCGGCAGTTCATGTGAATGGCTGTTGCAGCGGAAGCGCCACAGGGACCCTGGCGCGTTGGTAGTGCGATTGAGTTCTATACCTAGATACTTAAAAGGGTCAATCCTTCTCGAGAACTTCTCCCCAACAGACGAAAGCTGCCACGGCTGCGTGTTCACCTCACATAGTTCTGTTACCAACATGCACAACTCCATCCTCTTAGCCGCTTGGGCTGGCATTTCTTTTGTCCTCTACAAGATCATCTCCTCGATCATCATCTCGCGTCGCCATGCTGCTAGAGCACGTCAATTGGGCTGTTTGCCTGCCCCTGAGACTCAGCAGTCTCCATTCGATCCCCTTGGACTCCAGAATGTTGCCAAAATAATGAAGGCGGACAAACAGTCCCGTATACCGCAGTATTTGAAAGGTCGCGTTGATGATGCGTGCGCGAGGGAAGGCAAGATCGTCAACACATTCCATCAAAAGATCATGGGCGCAGAGGGATACTTCACAGTGGAACCAAGGAACATCCAGGCTATACTGGCCACGCAATTCAAGGACTACGGGTTAGGAGAAAGGCGAAACGGGAACTTTGCTCCACTACTCGGCCATGGCATTGTAAGTACTATTCTCAGGAATGCGACAAGAACGTCAGACGCTGACATGAAGCAGTTTTCCAGCGATGGCGAGCAATGGGCGCATGCGAGGTCATTACTTCGGCCACAGTTCGCTCGCGACCAAGTCAGCGACTTGGACCTTGAGGAAGAACATATGAAGAACATGATGCGCGTA